TCTTTTTGTAAAATGTAGTTATTTTAAGTAAAGCACTATGTTAAATATTGTATGTTTGTCAGGAGCTATACGACTGTGTCTTTTTCAGTAAAAGTTTAGCAGTGAAATTACTGGCTCAAGGTCTATTAAACATGTATGTATAGTGTTATATTATCATTTCAACTATGTCTCCAAGGAATAGTTTTACCAGATTAGCATTTGTCAATGTTTCTTTGCTTTTATATAAATTTTAAGTATTTTAGATTTTGTTTGCTAAACACAACCCAGTTTTTTAGAGGAAAAATTTATGTCTTTGGTTTAATTTTTATTCCTTTGATTATGAAGAACTTGATCACTTTTTCACATTTATTATTTACTTGTTTATCTCTGGTGAGTTCCCTTTTACATTTCTGCACATAAAACTAATTTGGATTTTTCAATTTTTTCTCTGTGAAAGGCTCTTTATACTAAACTGGAATAACTGTGTTTTAGATTTTAAATTCTGGTGTTTCTTTGCCCTTTTTTTGGTATTTTTTTTTAAAGATTTATTTATTTATTTGTACAGAACTGGGGTACAGGCCAGAGATGCGGAGGGTGAGAGGATTCACCAGGGACAGAGTGGGGAGCAGAACAGGCAGATCGATGAAGTCCACTGCTGAGGGAGTCAGTGGGCGGGTCAGGAGAGGTCTGCCATGCCATGTGGATCTCCTTCAGGGCAGGCAGGGATCGAACTCATGTGGAAGTGGCTTAAGCTTCTTTGTGCTGAGCTTTAACCTGCTGCGCCACCAGGGAGGGCCTTTTTGGTATTTTTACAAATGTTTCATTTTTATACTGTTAAGCCTATTTATATTTACATTTGATTGCCTGTGGTTGCTTCTGTGTATCTCCATATTTTTCCACTTTGATGTTAGAAATTGCTTTTTTTAAATGAGCTTCAAGTTTTTCTTTTTTTTTTTCATAAAAAGGTAGAATCTATTGAGGATTTTTTCAATAGTAAGTTTTATGGTTGAATGTTTGTCCTGATATGTATGTATACATTTTTCATTTAAAAATTTTGTTTTGGTATAGACTTTTTCTCAGCTGCTTAAAATATTCTACCTTTATTATATGTATATATTTAGCTCCTTCTAGTGATAGTACTCTGGAAAGATCTCTTGTGATTTGTTAATCATACAGTATAAAACTATTTTAACTTAAATTTGTATAATGTGTTTTAAATATTTGATAGTGTGCTTTTTCCATTCATTTGAATTTTTCATAATTGTCTCTGTAAGAATGCGAACCAGTGTAGTACAAATGTCAGCATTGATAGACAGCAAGAGCTACAGAAGTCTGGAAATGGAATTGAGCTGATAGGATCTTGGGGGAAGATGTGGCATTTTAGCTGGACCCAGAATGATGGATCTGATTTGACTTGGCAGAGTGGAAGGAGAAAGAACATTCCAAATGGGGAAAATAGTCTGAGCAACAGCACCCAGAATTATGAACATCCATTAGATAATGGATGATGAGACAGGTGGGAGGGACCTACTCTTTGCTGAATATTTACTGCATGTGACTCACCATGCTAAGCACTTTATAGGAATAACTGGCTAGCTGACTCCCCCTCTGACTCCTGTGTCAGTACATGGCTTGGTGTCCTGCTTTCACTCTATTCTAGTTTGGATGTAGAACTCAGTATTTCTTTGAGTTTCTAAAAAGCAATTTTCTCTCTCTCTCTCTCAACCTCTCTCTCTCTCAATCTTTATCTCTCACTCAATCTCTCTCAGTCTGTCTCTCTCTATCTCTGTCTGTCATTCTCTCTCAATCTCTCAGTCTCTCTCCCTCAATTTTTCACTGTCTCTCAATCTTTCTCAAACTCTCAATCTCATTCTCTCTCTCTCTCCCCTCCCCCCAACCTCTCACTCTCGTTCAACCTCTCTCTCACCAAGGTTTCTTGACCTCAGTACCATAGGCATTTGGGGCTGAAAAATCCATTGTTACAGGGTGTGCATTATTGGATGTTTCTCCCTGAGCTGCTAGGTTTGTTTCTAGGTGCTAGTAGCAATCCTGTCACCTACGTGGGACAGCCAAAAATGTCTCCAGCCATTGCCACAGGTCCCACTGGGAGAGAATACACCCTGACTGTGACTCACTGATAGATTAAACCAAAGATAGGGAAGTTGGTGGAGAGTTTTCTGTTGCACTGTACAAAACAAATATGTGCTTTTCTCAGTGACCTCCCTTCTTGGTTTCTGGGTTTTGGGGGACAGGGTTGTTTGCTTAAGCTGCCGTTTGGGCCACATAATTTTTTTGGGGTCTCCCTGTATGTTTGGTATATTGAGTAGCACTACTGGCTTCCTCCTAGAAGACACTAATACTCCTCCCCAACTTTGTGACAACCAAATTTGTCTCCAGACACTGGTGACATTGACCCAGATGGAGAACCACTCCATATCAAAGGGGTAGGGGGAGGGGTGGGGGTGTTGGGTATTAGCAAAACTCACAGGATGTAATTTTTAAATCTTTTTCCTCTGAAATCCATTCTTGGTTATTACACAACTGGTTTTTGTTTTGCTTATGCTTTGTCGAGAACTCGGCATCTCAGCACTATTATTGGGTGGGGCTGTTCTATAAACTGTGGGGTATTTAGCAACATCCCTGACATTTATTCTGGATACAGTTAACACCTTGCCTTCTCCCCTACTCCACTCCCAGGACTCTGCCCCATTTGAAACAACCAGCAGTAATGTTGCCATAGATTGACAGATGTTCCCTGAGGGAAGGGACAAAAATGTCTTTGGTTAACCCCCCCCCTTACCTTTCTTCATACAGCAACTCTTCTTTTCAGCCTTTTCTTCCAGAAGAAATGCTTGTTTCCTTACTCAGACATTGAGCAATAAGTTTTGTTGTTTTTATTGGGACATGATTGAGAAACCTCACTCTCAATCTCAAGTGGTTTAATTGTTACATTTTTCTCTAACAAGGGTAGCATTGCCCCTAAGAGGAATACTGGCAAATAACATACAGTCCACCTTGCTAACATTCATCATTTCTTGCCAAGTGAATGGAAACCACCCACTGGAGCTTCTTCTATCAGAGGTTCTGCTATAGACTATTTTTAAAAATTGTAGTGTTGATTTTTCTACACTGTCTATGTTTTAAGGATATAGACTCACACCTCTTAGGGTGTATGTTACCACACCACGCCTACCACCAAGGCACCCAGAGTCCTCTACCATAGTCCATCTAGCCCCATCCACCCTTTGCTTCTCATCTCCTTCTCTCCCTTTGTTTGCTCAATTCTGCAGTCATTTTTTAGGGTTAACTTTGGTTTAGTTTATTCTGCTCCTTTGTGTTGCTTTTTATATTCTCCACATGAGTGAAATCATCTGGTATTTGCATGGACTGATATTACATTAGAGTAAATTTGCACAAACCTCTATTTTACCAAATCTGAAATGTGGGCAACCTGAAGACAAAAATATTAGCTTGCACATAGTAAGTGCATTTAAATGAAAAGAATGTAAATATTGCAACCAGTCACATCTGGGTTAAAATATCACGTAATTCCCCTTTAACTGGATTTAGTAAAGTTAAACAAATTATTTTCTGTAACCTTGATTCATACAGTACTTTGCAAAATTGGGTTAGGATTATCTGTGAGTAGATGCTTCATAAAGATTATTCATAATAAAAGAAAGCACCTCAAAAATGTTAACCATTATTAATTTTATCAAGAGATATTAAGGCCTATATAAACTTTAAAGCCAAACTTTAACCTCAGTTACCTAGCTCTAGAACATTTTCCTCTTTTCCATTTAATTTCACTTACTTGTGACCATAGCTGAGGCATGATAGTAGAAAAAGATGACATTAATCTTTTTTATTTTGCCAGAAAGTTAAAACTTGATCAATTTTAATGTTCTCATAGACACAGAATTTTGAAATTGTCATTGTAGATTTTTTATAATGTAAGAAGATGTGTATGTATTTTAAGTAAAATATGACAGAATTGTTGTTAGGAATTTTACTAAAATTGATTCTATGGAAAAGCTGTCATTTGACTGAGATTTTAATGTTTTCCCCACTTTGTAAGATATATTTTTCTTTACCATTTATTTCTCCTATGATGTGTATATATGGTTTTGACCCCTTCAAGACAAATTGAAAAGTGAAATATGAAAAAAAAAATACTGTCTGCAAGTCACATTATAAAAAATTAGAAAAAATAAAAGTGCACCATCCTAGTCATTAAAAATGATTTCATTGTTCAATTACTTAAACAAAGCTGTGATTTTCCCAAGATTGGGAAATAAAATGTTAACATAAAGGTACATAATCTTTGTTATGTCATAGAGTTTAGAAGTGATGAGGGCCCCAAATTGCTTAGTGTAATCATATCAATTTATCAGTGAAGAAATTGAGGCCTACAGAATACAAGGTGACCTCCTTAGAACTGTTAACCAATGGTTAGTGATCGAGTTTGTACACTGATTCCAGAGTGAGTCATTCACCCTGCTTTGCCACATCTATTTAAAAAAAAAAAGAAAGAAAGAATGGAATGTTACAGAAAATTAGCACTTTCTTTCTAATGCATTACAAGAATTAGGGAATGAGAATGGAGATATTTTTAGGGATTGTTGTGGCACCAACCACAGGAGAAAAAATAGAAGGTTTTGACAGGGGTATGGTTGATGACAATTTTCAATTCAGTTTAGCTATTTTAAACAAAAAATACACCATCGTTGTCTTTTTGAGAAGACATGTGGACATGGCAGACTATAGGAAAAACTTAGGTTTTACCCAACACATAACATTTATTAACATACTCTAAACACATATTTAAAACTTTTTACGTTTTATTAAGGAACATGACCAATAGTGGAAACTGTCAGATTATTTAAAACTTGGTCAAATGTTTTTAAACTGTCCAAAAAGTGTCCAAACTTTGAATGTATCTTGAGTATTCAATATTCTTAACGTATCTTCAACCTTCTAGTAGTAGTGTGTAACTTTTCAATAACAACATTAACAAACTTCTAATAAAATTTTCTGTGTGATGTTCCTGTGTCCCTTTTTTGTTTATGTAACTGATATCGCTCTGACATCACTGACAGATCTTTTGGGACAGGCTGATTTGTTCTTTTAAGAATATTAATCAATTCAGCAGCGATCTTGGCATCATTCTGAGTCATGAGGGTAATCGATGTTCCTCTTCTTCCGGCTCTTCCAGTACGTCCAACTCTGTGCACATATTCTTCAACATTCCTTGGGAAATCATAGTTGTATACATGTGTGATATCGTTCACATCAATGCCTCGAGATGCCAGGTCAGTAGCAATCAGGATTTTCACTCTTCCTCTTCTGAAGTCATCTAGTGCTCGCTCGCGATCACTCTGCTCTCTGTCGCCATGCAGGGATTGTACAGGTATGCCTAGGATGCTTAAGTCACTTGACAAGTCATCAGCCACAAGTTTTCTGCTGACAAACACGATGACTTTGTCTTTAGGTGACAGGTTCTGCAGGAAATCTTGGATAAGAGCTCGTTTTTCTTCCTCTGTGGTGACAATTACATGTTGCTGGACAGTATTGACAGCAACTAGATCCAGGGTACCAACATAAACAATCATAGGCTCTTTCAAATAAGATTGTGCTAGACGACGAACACTATCAGGCCATGTTGCACTTGTCATAACAGTCTGCCTGTCAGGGCGCACATCCAATAAAATCTTCATTATCTGATGTTCAAACCCCAGATCCAGCATTTTATCTGCCTCATCTAGGACTAAGTAGGTTATACTTCTTAGGTTGACAAAGTTATTCATTTGCAGATCATTCAGTCGCCCAGGAGTTGCAATAACAATGTCTATACCTCCAGTAATGTCTTCTATTTGCTTTTTTCTATTGCCACCACCATACACACAAACACTTTTAAGATCTTTATATGAATACTTAGAACATTCAGCTTCCACTTGAAGAGCTAGTTCTCTAGTGGGTGTGAGAACTAGCATTCCAGGGCCATTCCTTTCTTCTCTAGGTAATGGTTGAAAACTGAGATGAATAAAACCAGGCATTAAATAGGACAGTGTTTTCCCTGTTCCTGTTTGTGCAACTCCTATAAGATCCATGCCTTGTAAAACAATTGGCCACATCTGTGCCTGAATTGGTGTTGGCTTTTTAAAACCTGCTTTTTTAATGTTTTGCATAAGTTCAGGATAGTTTTGGAACGCATCCTCAAAATTACAAGTCGGATTGGGCATGGGACGTTTCTTACCCTCTTTCAAGTCATCACACATTACATTGAAATTTTCTTTTCGCCAAATGTCTGCCTGCGCTTGAGACATTGAGCTAGTTGCTTTAGACTCTATGTAAAAGTTTTTCTTAATTGGTGGTAAATCTGCCCATTTTTTTTTCTCCCAGTCAGCAACTTCCATTTTAATTTTGTCCCAATCTAGTAGTGGCTTAACTTTTTTCACAGTGTCACTTTTGCTGACATCGCTCCCAACAGTAGACTGGGCTGCAGCCACATAGACACTGGATGCCGACTCTTGGCCCTCCACCTTTTTAACAATATCTTCTATAGCCTCTTTGGCCTTTATTTTCATGTCACTGCTTCCAAAAATCTTTACCTCGGCTATAGGATCACCTCTTACGATCTGTATTTTAGTATTGGTTCTATTCTGAATGTCATTAATTTTTGATCCGCCACGACCAATCACCACACCAATCATACTGCTCTTCAAACTCAGGGAAAGAGGTTGTTGACCAGGGCCAGATGCGCTAGGCTCCTGGTAGTGGGGGGAGCTGCTCCAACCCCGGCCCCAGCCTCGCTCCTGGGCACGGCTCCGCTCCTGGGCACGGCCCCGTTCCTGGGCACGGCCCCTCTCCTGGCCATAGCCCCACTCCATGCCACGGGTACGGCCCCATTCCTGGGCACGGCCCCACTCCTGGGCACGGCCACGGCCTCGGCCACGGCCCCACTCCATGCCACGGGCACGGCCCCTCTCTTGGCCCCAGCCTAGGCCTCGGCCTAGACCTCGGCCATCGGTAGTGGCTCTGGAATCTCTCCAATCGGGCTCTCCCTTCTGCTCTGGGGCCCAGGCCATTTCTTTCTCAATGGTAAGGTTGATGGCGGATTCTCGCCTACCTAGGAACGAAAGCAGGTGTGGCGGAGACCTCTTTCCCCTCAGGCTCCAACGGCACCAGGTACGATGCTAAGCAGCAGCTGTGGTGCCGGGCGTTACCTACGTCATCACTTGTTGACCGCATTGCCGAGCTTTGACATCTTGACCAATCAGAGGGCTGGAAGTGTCAACGTAAGCCAGGTTTCCGGCATCAGTTTAAAGTGACAGCCACTCTCAAGACCTGATTCCATGGCTCTTAAAGGGTCTTGAGAGTGTTTCCTCAACTTTTGCGTCCTAGGTGCCTCAGTAGCTTGCCTTTTGCTAGTTACAGCTCAGAACAGGAACGGGCTTGGGATTTATCCATGTAGTTTTTTTTTTTTTTTGAAAGCCCTTAGTTTCCATAGGTGGAAATAATAGTGATTTTAAACAAAATCAACTTATTCATGTATTTGTGTATTTAGGTAAATGTCCTTTTGAGTAACAACCATACTTAGTCCAGATACATTTATCACTTACCTGTCCTCTACTATAACTTAAGTTATACCATCAAGGAGCCTCTTAAGTAAACACTTAGGAACGGCACTTTTCCTAAAAAGTGTCAGCACTTTTTCTGAAAGATGCTTTTTGAATAAAAGATTGCTGGCCTCATTTGTTTGGGAAATATGGTGCCTTATATTAACTCTGTTAGAAACACAATGCATGTGAGCTAGTTGAGAAGTTCTCTTGGGAAACTCAGCTGGGCTGTCTCACCCAAAATTTCCAAAGGAATTTACCAATGGAACTTATTCTCATTATTTTAATTAGCTTTTCATTTGTAATAATCTTAGGCTCACAGAAAAGTACACAGGTAGGTCAAGCGATACCCATTTACTCCCCAGCCAGTTACAGTTTCCTCTAATCTTATCTCACACTACCAGGACATATTTGTTAAATATAAGAAATTAGCAATGGTGTATTAATTTAACTACACTCTACAGTTATACTGCTGGGAGTCCATTAATGTTTTCTGTTTCAAGATCAAGTGCAAGATACTACATTGCATTTAGCTATTGTGTATGATTTCTGACAGTCTTATTTTTCAGAACTTTGTCAGTTTTGAGGTATAATTGTTAGGTGTTTTGTGTAATGCTATTGAACTGAGGTTTGTTTGATATAATTTCTCAGGATTGCATTTGGGTTATGAGTTTTCAGAAAAATTCTCACAAAGGTGAAGTTCACTTCTTACCACATCATGCTGTAGGTAATGGGAAGGGTGCCCTTCAATTGGGGAATGTTCATGTTCGTTACTAAAGTAACTGACAGTACCTAGGTTTTTCCCACTGTAAAATTGTTCTGGCCCATATCTGTTCTTTGCAAGTAAGTCATTAGGTCCAGTGGACCCTCACAGCTCTACTTCCTCTTTGATGTAATTCTTATTAACATTTTATACCACTACTAATATACTATGTAATGCAACACAGAAAAGGCTCTGGGTGAGCATAGATTATCTAATGAGGTTTTTTTTTTTTCCCCCACTTGCTTGTTCAGCCAGAATGTTTGGGACCAAGTCACATTACAACTCCTCCACACTTGTTCATGAATTATATTAGGAGTCTTAAAGCATTTGTGAGATCTTTTAGTTCATTAACTATTAAAAAGGGAAATTTATATAGTCACATGAACTTTTACTGTGTCAAATGGAGGCAATATTTCTCCGTTTTTATACCTTCATCTTTACATTGAGTAATATTGATTACTGAATCACAGAATTGTAGAGGTAGTGAGTATGTCAAAGGTCGCCTTGTTCTTCTTCACTCTAGAAAGAATAAAAGGATACCTGAGTATCCTTCTGGTCTTGACTAAGTGTACCCACCAATCATTGAGAGTATAAATACAGAGCCCCTTCCCCATTCTCTCATTTTTTTTTTATTTTTGTGCAGAAGAACTGGAGTATAGGCTAGAGGTGTAGGGGGTGAGAGGACTCACCAGAGACAGAGTGGGAGCAGCACTGGTGGATCAACTGAAGTCCACTGCTGAGGGGAGCAGCAGGTGGGACAGGAGAGGTCTGCTATGCCATATGGGTCAGCTGCTTGGCTAGGGATGGAACTCAGGCCTTAGTGATAGTGGTTCCCCTAGGCCACAGGCGGCTCTCAGAGCCCTCTCTGACAGGGACAGAGACAGAGACAGGGACTCTTGCTCCTTTACTCCAAAGTTACTTGTTTCTGGTCCTTTTTTCTTATGTGACCAGTTGGTAAACAGAAGCAGCTATGAAAATAAGTGACAGAAAAATCACAGAGTGGGGAGAAGGGTACTTGCAAAATCGGAATACAAGAACTTAGAGTGGGACTGGCTGTAATGAATTACTTGGATGGCCGTGAACTGAAAGAAGCCTTTTATGGGTATTGTAGGTACTGAAAGACATTGTGTCTTTATGGGCAGTTGTTACCACCCTGATGGCTTGAGCAGTTGGAGAGACTGATTATCACCTAAATGAAGAGCCACCGGTGTGACATACTTCACTTCACATTTCTCTGCCCCAGGCTTGTCTCTTAAGCCAGAAATCCTCCCTTAAGATTTACCCCCAGTGGGCTGTGACTTGGCACCTTGTTCACTTATTCTTGAAAAGTTAAAACACAAAAGTGTGAAGTTGTCAATTAGATACATTCTAGTGGAACAATTAGCTGAGCACTTGTCTTCAGGCAGAGAAAGCAAAGGAGGAAGGGTTTGAGGTTTCTGGTAAAGTATGTCTGAAGGTAATGAAATTTCAGGAGTGTTTAAGATATATTTTACTCTTTTGCTTAAGGTGATCCCTTATTCTATACTTAATCTTGCTGGCAATAGTATGCGAGAGAAATATTGTCGTTAGCACATTGGGCTACTTTCCAGTGACTCTTACAATATTTTCCTGTAGACAAGTTAATGTGATGGCGTAAAGTATTCTAACAGGTGGGGCTTCTTAAAAACAATGTTGATATTATTTTGTTTACTAAATTTTCTCTGATGAGCTAAGGCAACTTAGAGTTATAGAATTCCAGTTAGTATTGAGGATGATAGTAATTATAGTTAATTTTACAGCTGTACAGCAGTTTATAAATATCTATAGAAATGTTTTACTTGGCTGATATACATCTGCCTATGTTGTGTTCTGCAGACGGAGTATATTACAGTAAAAGCTGCCATCATCATTGCAGATGTTGGCCCATTTACTTTGTGCATGGAACCATACTCACTATTACAATAGTCTAAATAAGTGACAGTTGTTTAGGGCAGTGGTCAAATCCCTGAAGCCGGAATACTGGATTTAGCTCTGAGTTCTACCACCTGTCAGCCTTTGGGCAGCTTCCAGACTTTGTAAGTCTCTGCTCTGTGTAGAACGCCATACTAATACCAGTCTCATGGATACACACACTATTGGTTCATTCAAGGAACTCCCCAAGTCTCTATTGTCTGTGTTCTCATAGGAAAGACTAGGCAGACAGATTTAACTCTGGAGCTCTCAAAGTGCCTGTGGTATGAGTCTTTCTGCTGGAAAGTTTCCCCTGTTTCCATGTCAAAATGAAAAAACAAGAAACATTGAATTTTTTCCCCCATAAATGTCGCCCATTTAAACTTTTATTCTAATATCACGTCCTTCAATTTTTTAAATAAAATATGCTTTCAAGAATAAAATGGATTAAGCAGATAATGTTTTCAAGGTCTTTACTAGGGCCAAATACATGTAAAGCTGATGCCAGTGGTCAGATTTAATTTTGAAATATTGATTGTATTTGAAATCCAAGGAATTGTAAGCACTAACCTTGCATGTTAGCAAATAATAACAATTCAAAATGAATATAATTATGACAGCAGGTAAGAGGGGCTGGGGAGTCATGGTAAAGTCATGTCTGACTTTTCTGAGAAGGTATGAGATCAGAGCTAGGAGGATATTCATTTCAGGAAAAGAGACTAATGGGGCCTTGGAGGAATTGATGAGCACAGCCTAGAGGATCAGAACTGGAAATTTAGGTTAAGGACAAAGGGTATGTGGAAAAAAAAATGGTTTGGGCCAGTAGAAGAGAGAGGGGAACTTTCAAGAACCATAAAGATAGACACAGAAGTTTCATATTACTGTGGTCAAAAAGGGGGGGTGGTTGGTGAAGCTACAGTGAAGGAGTCATGTGACAGCAGACAGCACCAGCATTAATTAGGGAAGCAGGTCCACGTGGAGAATGCAGGATGCAGGGCAGTGAGGTAAGGGAGTGGTGTGCTATTTTGAGGACTGTGAGCAGAGGATATCGAATAGTGTGTGGCAGTGGTAACTCATGGAAAGGAACAATCAGGAGAAACAACTAATATTTCTTAGTGCTACTATATACTAAACATTAAAAATATATTCTCTCATTTAATCATCTCAGCAAACTCATTATTAGACATTTTTCTCTGCTTTTATGTGAAAATAACAGGTCTCATCAATGTTAGGTAGATAATATATCCCAGTTGGTGCAAAATGTGGTACATGACTGAGCTAAATTTAAACACAGGTCTGGTTAACTTCAAGACCTTGGCCTTTTGCCATTTATAGGGGGAAACATGCTTGATTTGGTGCCTGGCTGTAGGATGGGTTGAAAGGGGTGTTTAATCAAAGATGACTCAAGCTTTCAGATCAGAGATGCATTGAAGCAGAGAACCTTGGAGCCACTGACAGGGAAACTAGAGGAGGAATCTTTTGGAGGGCACAAAGAACAGTTTAATTTCAGACATGTCCAGTTTGTGATGTTGTGGGGACATACAACGGAAATACTAAGTAGGACTGGAGATTTGAGATATTAAATTTTGGCTGGGAAGACAGAAGGAGAAAGATGAGAGTCATTGGCATAGAATGTATAGTAAAAATTGAGAGAATGAATATTCTCCCCAACATATGGACAGTTATAAAAGATAGGTTTAGGGATATCTTAAAGGAATCAGAATTCATATAATTATTGAATAGATTGAGGAAGACACGAACCACATGAAGAAACAAGAAAAATTCAAGAGAAGTGGAGGAGAGCATGTCAAGAAGGCCTGGTGAACAATGTTAGGTATTTCATAAGGGACAGGAACAAAATAGACTCCTGATTTTGAGAGAAAAATTGTCATTGACTTCTAAGATGGTCCTTTTTGTGGAGTGATGTGGAAATACTTATT